CTTGCCCAAAGCGGTGGGCAGCCCTATCCATGGCGCCCAGGGAGCAGTTGGGGGTTAGGTGCCTTGCTGTTCTGTTGGCTCAGGGGATTGAGCTGACGACCTTCCGACCCCACGGCTGGTTCCCTAACCTCCAGCCCACGACTGCCCCGAACCTGTAATGTAATCAAACCTGTAATGGAGAAGTTCTTGGACATTGAAAGCTGTCTTGATATTTGACGTGAAAGTTTTGGCCTAATGTCCCTTGTAGAAACCGTGAAATTGTCATACATCCTTGTGGCTCTGATGTCTGTAAAGACTCCATTTCCCAGAACTCTCTAGGAGATCACATGACCCATGAACTATCCACCAATCAATGCTCTAGTTCACCCAAATACTAACCTGTTGCCCCTGTCGTGTATGTCATATGACACAGCTCCAGAGCTCTTTTACTGCCCTGTTGTGGCTCCACAGCTGAATTAGATAAGATTGTGGGTAAAAATAAAATAATCCTCCTTTACAGTAAAATAAAGCTCTGCTGATCGTTCAACACAGTTTAACAATAAATGGTCTTAAACTCTGGAGTTAATGTAGAACTGCTAATTCACCCTTTAACCCTGAAGATCAGCACAGACTGTTGGTCACCATAGCAACACAGACAACAGTCTCGCCTAGCTAGTAGCTAACGAAACGGCAAAGACAGAGATTTAAGACGAACATCAATGATTTGGAGACAAATAGACTTATTTGCATTTATAATCACTCCAGCTGGTTTCCTGATACGTTTAATCTGCAGTGAGAAACTGACAAACACTAAAAAGTTGTGATGCTGAAGTCGCTTTTCATTCGCCAGCTTCTCATTTGAATTGTCCCGTTCCACCTTAAATGGTGCAGCAGTTACATTCTGGAGCCTCAGGCACCATTTAAGGTGGAACAGGAAAATTCAAACAAGTAGCTGGCGAATGAGAAGCAACTTCCGCCTCGTAAAAATTGAATGTTGAGAGTCATTTTACAAGAAACTGTTCTACTTTTGTGGAAAAGTTTCCTGCTGGAGATGCGAGAAAAGCAGCTACAGCTGAGCTAAAGCTTAAAGCAGAGCAAAGTAAATCTGTGTTTTTGTTTATATTTTTAGTCTATATCAGCACATACTGAGACATATTTACAGCCAAGATGGTAAAATGGACATAAAATGTTGTGGCTCCCAAGGTGGTTTGATTTTTGTTGAAAGAACAAAAATGTCTCTTTTTAACATTTGGGTTGCGACTCCTGGACTAGCTGTGGTTTAGTGTATAAGCCCAGTCTTTAGCACTGTCTAATTGTGAGGTGTTGCTTCTCTCCGTAGAGCTGCTGAGCACTTCTGTCTGTACTTTGCCTTCTTCTTCTGTTATATATTTGGCTGTTTGTCTCTCACAGCTGAAAACCAAAAGTGACATTTTAACCATTTTCAGCTGAAACTTTTCAGTAGCCAAAATTCTGGTTTATCCCTGTAAAACCCAGTATGATGATTAAATACACCACTGCTTAATAAATCATTGAATAAATTAATTAACACACCATGTCTGTATGATATGCTGGGTGTAATGATGCATCAAATGTCTGATTCACATTTAGAAGCCACAACTTACAAATTAACGTTATTGTTAGTTATTTTTTCATATTTACAAATAAAATAATTCAGTCAGTTGTGCTTGATTATGGCCAATAAATGTTCCACTAATTCATGTTAGATATGGCACCAAACTGATACAAGGTATCGTATCAGGCCGATATTAGCAGAAAATTGATCAGAAATCAGTGGGAAAAAAGAATGAATCTGGTCCAAATTTAGCCTAAAATAGCACTCGGTACAATACTAGAGTTTGAGGACGACGGCCTACGTAAATTTAGACACTCATCTTAAGTGCTTCAATTAAAAATAGCTCTTTTTAAAGCTTAGTAGGTTTTCAAAAAAGAAATATCGGATGGGTATCGGACGATACTACGGGCTTCAATATTGGTATTGGTATCAGTCAATGACTTTAATTGTCTAAGCCTTTGGTTAAATCACAGTATGGATCTGTAAGATGAGTAAGGTATATTTAATAAGTCTTCGATTCTCATTTAAGCAACAGAACAGGAGAGGGAGTGTTATCGTGAAATAACATCCTGGCTGTGATTTGGTCGCCATAGATCATCACAGCCGTGATGTTATTGGCGATAACACACTCCTCGAGTGTTCTATTGCTTTAATACAACAGTTAAATAAATAAAGTAATAAATTAATAAACTGGGCCGTGAACGCGGCGTTTAATATGTTTTAATGTTCGCGGTTCCTTCACCAAATTATAGTTCCTTAACAAGCAGCTTGTTGCTACGTCAGAGTAACGAGCTCCGCCCACTCGCTGCACAGTCTGCTGTAAGCCTCACCTTTTGAAGTTCAGACTGAACCATAAAACTGCCACAATATCAAGTTCAGCTCAGTTTTGTCAGTTTTTGCCAGATCAGTATTAATGTTGTTTTGTTCCAGCCAGTCTGTAAAGCATCTTACAGCCCGTTTAGTTTGGCGAATGGTGTTGGGTTCATTTCTGGCTGATTCCAGGTTGTTTAGCTGTTCTTCTGTCTCAGCTGCCGACTGAAAAGCTGCTCAGTGGTGATGACAGTTTGGGAATTTAGTGTCGTCTCATCTTCAGAGTCTGACCAAATCGGCTGTCGGTCAAATGTGATCTTAAAAGTGTCCATTTTCTGTTTGTGGCAAAGTAAGAAGTAAAAACGTTCAAACGGCTTGAGCGTCTCCTACAGCTGTCAAAGTCGTTGCTTAGCAACGGCGTCTCAGCGGAGTGATACAGCGTTCGTGAAAAAACTGTGATGTTATGCTGAAATAACAGCACAGTTAGAACGCCTCTCAACCAATCAGCGTGTGTGGCCGGAACTAACTGTTGTATGATTTAGATCACGATCAGGCCACATTTTAGGAGTCATTCCTGCAGAAATCCAGACACTTCCAAATACTTTTTGCCACTGTAGTTACTCTCTGTTCTATGTTTGATTATGTCCTATAGTGCAGCTTTGGCCAGGCTGTGTGGTTTAGAGGAATGACGAGACGGGATATTTGTATGCGTCCGTCATGAGGTGACTGTTATTTCTTGCTGAGTCCTTTAGTCTTTTCCCTCTTCAGGCCTGGAATGTGTGTTTCTCGTTAAGAGTATGTCCAGCACAGTATAAAAGAATTGTTATGTTTGGGCAGAGGCTGCGTCTGAGCAGGCAAGGCCGAAAAGGCCAGAGAAAATATGGGACAAACATTAAATCATACAGGCAGCAATTTTTCTCCTTAATTGAATGCCTGGCCTTCCTCTTCTTAGGGAGCTGAGCTGTGTTTGTGTATGTGGGAGAGGGAGAGAGAGAGAGAGAGAGAGAGAGAGAGAGAGAGAGGATAAGCCATGGTTTAAGTTGAATTCACACCGACTTGCACAAACACTTCCATGCACTCTAGATGACTTCACACCTTCTACTGGCAAAGCATGAGTCAATGACTCAGCTGTGTTTTTCCATCCTGTTTTTTTATTAATAAATAAAAAAAAGCACAGACACACAAGGTTACAGTCATTACCTTTCGTTTCAGATGCCTTTGGAGAGATGCAGAAAGAGACTATGAGAAAGTTTCTCCAGTATGTCTGTTAATTGCTCCTCTACAGTACTTGAAACAATAAGTAAAAATCAGTTCAAAGCAACAGTTTGGCGAAAAAATTCAAATTTACACCATTTTCCACTTAACCCAGACGTGCTCAATCAGCCGAGACATTTCTGGAGGCCAAAGTTTGCTCTTTGTTTTAGAACTGGTGCGGCAAAGCTAACACTGCTATCACTAGGACTCAATAGTCACCCAAATAGCCCAAATCATTTCTGTAAAGATACACTACCAAAAATGGTCTGGCTGCATCTATGTCTTCATTTAAGTTGTGCAGACTAGATGTGGCTTAGGACACAGTACGGCTTACTGTAAACTATAAAAATGAGCAAAATTTGTAGCTGTTTAATACAGCTGAACATTGCAAACAGCCTTTTTAGACATCAAGATCAGTCCTCTATTTTACGACTGCTCTGTGAATACCAGCCCTAGTGGTGTCTGAAATAGCTGCCCATAAATGAAGTTCTGGTCATTTTCATAATTCACAGTAGGTCAAAAAAACAACATTGACAAGTCTGTGCAACCTTAATGAAGACCTGGATGCAGTTTGAGGGGGTTTTGTTGATCAATTTTGTTGGTGTATTTTTATGGAAACACATTTGGGCTATTTGGGCGACTATTGAGTTCTGGTGTTTGTTAGCAATGTTAGCCTTGCAGCTTCAGGTCTAAATTAAAGAAGCAAATACTGGACTCCAAATATGTCTTTGCTGATTTAGTGGAAAGTGGAAAACTTTGTAAATTAGATCTTTTCTCAAACCATTTCTTCAAAATATAGAAAATAACAGTAAAAATAAAAAGAAAACAATACTTGTTGGTAGTAACCATGGAATGTTACCTGGTAAGGAGAAGTAAATTCTCATAGCAGTTCATGCGCCAGAGAAATGGCTTACTTATTTAAAGTCAGGACAAATATGCAGGTTACTTCCAATTCTGATGTCAAGGTAAGTCATGTGACCTGTCATGTGACTGGCAGCAAACCAGTAATATGTTTCCGACAAGAAAAAAAATGCTATTTATTGCTTCTTTAAGATTTTTAGACTTTTTACTAAGCATTCTCACACCTCACAGACATAAAGAGTAGTTATTTGTCCAAAAACACCCTCACTAGATGATTTATAGGCAATAAATTGTGCTCGGTTTAAGTAATCATATACTTATGCAAGTGGACATGGATTATCCCTTATGATGAGAGACATGAAATACAACATAACACATAATAAGGTAGACAGTAATTCTGTTTAACTTAATACTTGAGGTATTCTGAAAACACTGCCCCCTGGAGTCACCACAATAATATAATTCTAAAACGTCTGTGCTTTCCTTTCCTAAGGGAGAACAGCCAGGATGAGGGTGATGTTTCCAGAGCTTAACTGAAAAAAGAGGAGAACAATATCAGGCTAAGCTCAGTAACATATTTCATTGTTACGCTGATTATTGATCATCATTTCTGAGTCATATTTGCTGCCCAGAGTCCCAGCGGAGAGGTGGTAGTAATAGAAGAGTAATCTTTAGATGGTCGGCGCACCTCACAGGTGGAGGACTCAGTCAGTTTTATCCTTGTTAGACTCTACAGCACCTGCAAATAAGAAAACATGAAGCAGATTATGTGTTAGTATCAGATCTCAAACCTGGAAGAATGCAGAAAAATAAACAAGTAAAAATCAAAACAAAACATTTAAACATACTCGAGTATCATTCTACTGGATTATTTCAAACTACAGTCCCACAGTAAAAATTAATTAATTAATTACTTAATAAATTATTATAAATCCAATTAACCCTTGTGTGGTGTTGATGTGTTTGTTACTCAGTGGTCTGGTGGACCCACCATAACAATTCATGTAAAAATACCAGATGTTTAAAATATCACAAGTGTCCAGCGTAGGGTTCTCCTTTAGCAGCTGTAGCCAGTCAGCAGCCTGTCCATGTTGTCCACCCTCACACACACACACACACATATACAAACACATACAGACACACACACACGCACACACACACACACACACACACTAACAGCAGGCCATGTAGGAGGAGAACCGAGTGAAGGACACAGCACCTCCACACTTTTACTCCCCGCGGGTTCAGCCCAACACCACATGTGTAATATAAATGTGTGGGGGGTGAACAGAGTGAAGACACTGAAAATGGGTTATTTTATATGATCTTCACAGAAAATGAGCAAAGACCAAGAATCTGAGGCTGAAATAATAATAAATCACATCATTTTTTCTTTTGGTAAACATTGAAAACGGGTCCCACAGACCTGAACACCACACAAGGGTTAAATCTTCAGACCATAGATATTTACAAGAATTATGCTTTGATCTATTTAAACCCAAAGTATTAATTGAGATAGTAATAAGCTAAATATATACAAAAGCATCATTTATAGACTACCTTCTGTTGGGAGGTGACTGAGTTATGCACAAAAACAGCTGAAATTGTCACTACTGAAACATTTGGGAAGGTTTTGGTAGTGTTATGACTTTTTTGGTAGTGACAAACTGGAATGTTCAGTTATTTATTTTAACACAATAAACATAATTCAGGTATAAAGTCACTCAAGTCTGTTAAAAGTCCGACTTTGAACCGATTTAAAAGAATGATTCATATAAAAGTAAAAGAAGCAGCTTTAACACATGAATTCAAAGTTCTCTGTTTGGTCACACTCGCTTTTTAAGCCAGGCTGTAACAGCTAGACATGTCCGATTCACTGCTGCACTATACTAACACTATGTCTTGTGTCCAGTCGTCGGAAAGAGAACTTAAATTCTGGGTGTATCTTTGCTGAAGTGAACAGTTGCCCATCCTGTCCAGTCTGATGCCGTCGCAAGATCTGCCTTAATCGTCTCTCTGCTCACCTGCCCTCATGATTTAACCACAGTGGAGTCTCCTACATGTCCATTCACTTTCCTGCTGTGCCAGAAAGCCTCACCTGCATGCTCCACCTACCCAAACACCTCACACCCCCCGCACGCTACACTGGATAAACAGAGAAGCTCATTCAGGTCAGACTGTTACAGCTGCGCTGTGTTAAAGAGCGCAGTGTGAGATCTTTCTTACCCACTGATATACGGCTCTACAGCGAGTCTCCTTACTGCGGAGATGGTACTGATCTCCTGCTGTCTGAACTGAGCTGATCCACATCACTGTATCTCCTCTCCTGTTAATATGCACTGTGCAATATATCATAACTGCTACTGTAATGACTCTCACTGAGCACTTTAGACTGTAAACACTGCTGATATTCATTGTTCTCATGTAAATACAACAAACCTGTCTTATGTCCTATGTAAATATGCAAATAGACATACTTATTCCTACTTTCTTATAGTTTACTTATGTGTATTTTCTGCCGATCAGGCATAACATTATGACCACCTCCTTGTTTCTACGCTCATTGTCCATTTTATCAGCTCCACTTACTATATAGGTGCACTTTGTAGTTCTACAGTTACAGACTGTAGTCCATCTGTTTCTCTGATACTTTGTTAGCCCCCTTTTACCCTGTTCTTCAGTGGTCAGGACCCCCATGGACCCTCACAGAGCAGGTACTATTTGGGTGGTGGATCATTCTCAGCACTGCAGTAACACTGACGTGGTGGTGGTGTGTTAGTGTGTGTTGTGCTGGTCTGAGTGGATCAGACACAGCAGTGCTGCTGGAGTTTTTAAACACCTCAGTGTCACTGCTGGACTGAGAATAGTCCACCAACCAAAAATATCCAGCCAACAGTGTCCTGTGGGCAGCGTCCTGTGACCACTGATGAAGGACTAGAGGACTTTACATCTACAAGGTGGACTGACAAGGTAGGAGTGTCTAATAGAGTGGACAGTGAGTGGACACAGTGTTTAAAAACTCCAGCAGCACTGCTGTGTTTGATCCACCTACCTACCCACCCACCCACCCACCTACCTACCTACCTACCTACCTACCGATGATACTGGTGCCTGCTTGGATTAAAACCATTTAACCATAGATATTTTTCACAATATTCTGAGTTCTTTACATACATAGATGATAGGCCTCTAACAGTATTCACTGTCTTTCATAGATCTGTTTCTGTATCGTGAAAATGTCTTAAAGTATTGTGACAGGATATTTTTGCCATCTCGCCCACCCTTAGGACTGTGCACAGAAACAAAATGCCAAAATAAAAAACAAAATATAATCTTTAATTTTCACTCATCTCTAATTTTATTTTTAGGATGCAAATTTTCATATTAAATTCTGTTATTATTTTAACATAGCATTTTCCATGTTGCACCGTTAAATGCAGAGTGTGTTCTTGAGTCCTTTTTCTTGTTATACAGGGTGATTCTAAAAGATTCATCCGATTTCAAAATGATTTATTTCACTTGTAAATCATTACAGATCAATGCAGTGAACTGTAAATGTTTTAAATGAGCATAAAGTTTATTATGTAATTGTACGAGGTCTCAGTATGAACCTCCTCCAGCTGTACAGACAACATCAACACCATAGTCAAACTCATCCCATACTGGATTGAGCGTGTCGGGTGTCGCTGCACTCACGGCTCTTTCAGTGCGATTTCGGAGATCATCCAGTGTTGTGGAACCAACGACGAACGCTCTGAGCTGTTGGAGCTTCACTGCCCACGAAAATCACACTGCACAGTTATGACGGATTCACTCTTATAGAAGTGGAGGCATCTTCCACTGATGGTCAGAAACTCTATGACCCCCTCTTTCAATTGGATTGTGATTGGTTCCTAGACGCTTTGAAATTGGATGAATCTTTTTGAATCACCCTGTATTTTCAATTCCCTTCATGCCAGCACAAGATCACTTCACCCAAAAACATTACTAATAATAAATGACATTACTGTGGGCCAGTTTGTTTGCAACTGGCCTGTCCAGGCTTTTTAATCACTCGCAGTCATATCAACATCTCTGGGTGAAGCATGAATGCCATGGCCTAATCAAGATAGTATGATCCTGTGATGAAGAAGAGACGATGTGTATTAAACCTGTAAGGGAGCTAGCAGGGCCGTTTCAGCTGTAGTGGAGTGTGTAAGTGTGTATAAATGTGTGTGCAGATGCTTGAAGCGCACTCAGTGATTTGTGGGTCAGTGTCAATCAGGTGGGAGGCAGAGAAGGCTTCTCCGCGTGCTGTTATCACTCTGCTCGCGGGTCTGCTCCCGTCTGTTCTGCACCGCCTGTGGCGACGTGACGCCCACAAGCTTCATTCCGCTCCACGCTGCTAAGCTCTAATGATGCTAATGGGCAGAGGAGTGAGGAGTGTGGGTGCACAAGGAGACCACAGAGGGATGTATAGCAACCTGGAGGTCAGTGTGTGTAGAACCTCTGTTTGCTGTGTGTGCGGGGCGAAGAGAGAGAGAGAGAGAGAGAGAGAGAGAGAGAGAGAGTCATATCTACCTGACTGTACAGTGAGCCTATTTGCAGATGAAGCTGAGTGCACACATTCACACTAAAACTGTTATTGGTCCTGAAACCTGAATATAGCCCGAACAAATTCTGTCCAAAACTGACCCAGCGTGATCCAGTCCATTCCACCACACCATGTCGAGCATCTATTCACCCACTGGACACGACATGCACCACTGCTTCTATTCATGCATCTGTACAATAGAGAACAATAATACTGTTGCTGTTGTTTTGCTCTTTACTGAACTTTACGCTGCTGTAATAGACGACTTTCCCTCTGGGATTAATAAAGTGATCAGTCCATCCATCCATACATCTGTCTGTCTATTCATCCATCCATCTTTCTAATTGTATGCCTATCTATCTATCTATCTATCTATCTATCTATCTATCTATCTATCTATCTATCTATCTATCTATCTAATTGTATGCCTGTCTATCTGTCTGTGTGTCTGCCTGCCTGCTTGTCCATCCATCCATCCATCTATCTTTCTAATTGTATGCCTGTCTGTCTATATCTATCTATCTATCTATCTATCTATCTAATTGTATGCCTATCTATCTATCTATCTATCTATCTATCTATCTATCTATCTATCTATCTATGTTTCTAATTGTATGCCTATCTATCTATCTATCTATTTATCTATCTATCTATCTATCTATCTATCTATCTATCTATCTATCTATCTATCTATCTATCTATCTATCTATCTATCTAATTTTATGCCTATCTATCTATCTATCTATCTATCTATCTATCTATCTATCTATCTATCTATCTATGTTTCTAATTGTATGCCTATCTATCTATCTATCTATCTATCTATCTATCTATCTATCTATCTATCTATCTATCTATCTATCTAATTGTATGCCTGTCTATCTGTCTGTGTGTCTGCCTGCCTGCGTGTCCATCCATCCGTCTTTCTAATTGTATGCCTATCTATCTATCTATCTATCTATCTATCTATCTATCTATCTATCTATCTATCTAATTGTATGCCTGTCTATCTGTCTGTGTGTCTGCCTGCCTGCGTGTCCATCCATCCGTCTTTCTAATTGTATGCCTGTCTGTCTGTCTATCTGTCTATCTATCTATCTATCTATGTTTCTAATTGTATGCCTATCTATCTATCTATCTATCTATCTATCTATCTATCTATCTAT